TACACACACCAGTTGAAGTGATCAGAAACTGGTTTAAACCTGTAACAGAACAGATGTTCAGTGCACGTAAACCAGTTTGAAAATGGCTGAAACCGGTTTGAGATAAACCTGGTTGAATGTAGTAATCAGACTTAACTGATTTGGCTCAAACCGGTTTATGCAATGTCTGTCCCAGACCTCTTGCTGGTTTAAGATAAACCAGACTCCCCCAGCATCCCAGCATGCTCTCTGGGCTGGGCGGGGCTCTCTGCTTCACAGCAGAGCTAGGCCCTCCCCTCTGCTACCTGGCTGGAGCTCTAGAGACTGCAGGCTGCTTCCCCCCTCCCCTCCCCACTCCTGCTAATTCTCCCCTCCCCTCTGCCTTGCTTAGGAGGTGCCTGTGTATTAGCTAGCAGACCACATGCTGGCTATAGTCTATGCTGAGGCAACAGACAGAATCAACAAGTAGTTGATGGTAATGTCCCTCTGTTGTTTTCTTAATTGGGTGATAAACACTGTTATCAATTCGCTGCTGGGCTAATTGGAGGTCCTGCTGAAGCCTGGCCATGTCCCCTTTGGCACCATGCTGTGGAAGGAAGGGCTGCTCTAGCACCCTCTGGCTTCTAGCCTGAGCCACTGCAGGCATATCCTTGCATTTCTGGGATGTCTGTCTGGTTACAACACTGATTTAGCCTAGCCAGGTTAGACTAACCTGCAAAGATTGAATCAATTCAGGCTCAGACTTTTTGAATGTCTGTCCCTAGCCCTAAGGTCAAAGGCAAGTTCTGCTAGCTGGCTTAGGAGAGCTAAGCAATATGCAGTGAAGCTCTTAAGCTTAAGGGCTACAAACCAGACGGGCATTTTACTTTAGACCAGCTAGTTCAGCAGAGTGCCATACCAACAGACACTTTACTGCATCCTAGTGTAGTGAGCTGTGATTCAATAAAATCGGCAACTAATGGTCTGATAATGAAAACTCTGTGGTAACCTGCAACCATAAAAGTTTTATTTCACTACTATAATCCCAGTAGAAGTCTGAAATTAACTTGAAATCTGGGCTTTCTGTGATAGTTAAGTGTTGCTGCCTTTAAATTTACTTAGTTTAAAAACGTGAAACTAATAATTGCCATCTAAACAAGATGTGAAAATTTTCTGGGTGGAACACTCTGTTTCATCTCATTCACACCTTCATACCTGCCCCCTGCCTTTCTCCCTGTACCTGTAACCCTTGTTTTATTCTGATGAAGGCATTATTTTCCATTAAAGCTAGAAAGGGGTCCAAACCTCTTCACCCCTCACCCTGATGATGGCATTTCTTTCCAATAAAATTAGAAGGGAGGCCAAACCAGAACAGACCCAGAGAAATGGCTGATCTGGAGCCAAACACTGTAATTGAATCAACATGCAAATGATCTTCTATGAACTGTAGAAATACAGAAGCAGGGTGTGTGAGAGAAATCAGGTACATGAGAAAAATAAGGTAAGTGAGGAATCAAGCAAGAAAAAATGAGTGAGAATAGGAAATCAGGTAAAGAAAGGTAGGGCTAGGAAGAAGTTTCTGTAGGTCTTCAGAACATTTAATAGCTGATCCTGGTTTCTGCATATTTTTCCCCTAATTTCAGCATATGGTTTTTAACTGTACCTCTAGGGTACTGTATGAAATACATGCTCCCTAACCTCCTCCAGCCCTACTTTCTTTGGCACTGATTAGCATGAAACTACAAACCTGCAGCAGGCCTATGAAAAGAGTCAAAAAAAGGTAAATCCCGATCCCATTGAAGAAATTATTTCATCGGGGCCAGAACTTCACTAAGAAGTGTAAAGATCCTTTTCAGGTATGATATGATCAAAGATATAATGAGACAGAGAGGGGAGGAGAAATTGGGCAGGAACAACATCTGAAAGATCATGTGGTTGCTTAGCAATAGACCTTTTCTTGGAGAAAATAAAAAGCTAAATAAGTGATTTCTTTCAGAAAAAAGTGGGGCTTTAAGGAAGCATTTAAAACAAGACAATAGGTCAGAAAAAAGGGGTCCAGGCACAGGGCTAATTCGAAGGAAAGTGTAGATGTGATTGTGTGAGGCAGAAGAACAAAGTCAAGGGTATCAATATTAGCAGAACAGTACATAAAAAGGGGCAGCAACAATCTACTTTAAATAAATAGACCTTAAGTCTTGCTTCATAGTTGGTTAGCGAAGCTATAGACATTGAGGGCATTTTTACATGTGGTCCCGATGTGATGCTGGGCTCATTTAATTAGTGAGCCGGGCTAATTAAAAGCACCCATGTGTCATGTGCATCAGTAATATAGTGTGTTCTCATGCTGGGAAAATGGCCGTGGTGCACTCTGAACGTATTTTAGTTCAAAGCGCCCCACGCCATTTTGTCAGTGTGGAGGTGCACTACACCACTGATAAACCTGATGTGTGGGGCTGCCAGAGCACATCAATTTACATGCTCCAATGCACTGGATTTCCAGCACATCAGAGCAGGCTGCCTGCATGTGTGTAAGTGCCCTGAGTTCTTTAAATCTTTCCTTATATCAGTTTTTCTAGTAACTTAATCATTTTTTGTTGTTCTCCGGCCTCCCACTTTACCACTTTCTGGTAACACAATGCCCATTTCCAAGTATAACTGACAAAGGCTATTACTACTTTTATTTTCTGTGATGTAAGCCCTTTGCAATTGCAGTGACCTTGTAGCAAACTATAGATTAAGATCATTTATTATAAACACTGAGTATGGGAGTCTTTGGATCTGGCATTTATCTTGCACTACCAATAGTCATAGTTACATACATAGTAAAAGATTACTATATTTGGCAAACTAAGTAACATATATGTGCAGAACATATATTACTTTCAGATAAATTAATATGCTAAATACTACAACTACTAAGTCACCAATTCATTCTGTGTGTGCAAGTCATGACATTGAAATTGATGGACCAAATCCTACAGGTTGTTACTTAAGCAAAATTCACATGGTCATTAAGGAAAATTTGTGGAAAGTTGGGGAAGGCCCTATAATGTCAGGCCAGTTTTCTCTTTATGAAATAGACTGCCTCGTGATGTTAACCTTCTGCATTTGTGCTGTTTAAACATTCCAGTTTCATAATCAGCACTACCTCAGAAGAAATTCATCATTAACATTTCAAGGACAGTTATTACCTTCCTGGGAATATTAAAAGCTGAAACAAAATATCCTGCAGAAGTTTTGCTAGTTATAGTCCTTGTCTTAAGAAGGTTATAATAGTTAAAGCTAGCCCAAAAGCAGGGGAAAGTTGTAAGATTGCCCCAATATTTTTCCTATTTATTTTGGAATGTTGAAATTTGAAGTCTTGCCAAAAAAAATGTAAATTAGTAATGAATTAGTAGTTATTGCCAGTTATTATTAATGGCTAATTTTTACCGTGCAAAAGCACAAAACAGAAAAGATGTCCATACACAACATACTCTCTCGATAATGGATTAATTCTGTACTATAAGCCAAAATTAGGAAATTTTTTCTATGGTGTCTGGCGAAGTAAACAGAGTAAAAACTGACAAATTTCAACTCAAATTTCCAACTGCTTTTTGTGCTGGGAGGATGGGGATTGGGCCTCCTCTACCACCAGTGGTAGCACAAATGGGAAGCACAGCTTTAAAAATATTTGGAAATGGGAGAATGAGCAGCCATCTCATAGGAAAACGAAGGGAAAAATCAGGAGGTAGAAAAAAGGTACAATTTGAAACCCATGATAAAACCACTCTGCCAAATAATCACCTCTGCAGCTGGCTCCCAACATCCATTTACAACATAGGGAGCATGGGGACAATGCTCATCAGCAAAACCTTGTGCTACAAAAGCAGAAAATCAATAAGTCCCAGCATGTCTTTCCCTCACTGTCCAACTAACTATGGAAGATCCAGCCCCATAATTTAGGATACTTGTCCATGCATTTCAATGGATATTGATATTTTCACCCCCTTCTGCATGTATTTGCTGAAGAATAGATGACCAGATATGTTTTCATTTTGGATTGTTCAGGAGAGATACTTTAGCAACTTCCTATCAATCTTACAACAGCCATACCATACAGAATAATAAATATGACACTGTAAACACATGATATTAAATAAATTTGGTTTATGCATTACTGCATAGCTGACACTGGCATTATGCCACCTGGGAGGATATTTATACAAAAGGGTCATCACACATGACAGTATAGGAGGACATAATGCCTTGTATAACATCCTCCCTGCCAATTGTTTTTCTGTGCAACGAGTAAAGCGAGTTTCTAAGGAGAAACAGAAGGAGGCGGCACTTGGAATGCAAAACAAAGTCTGATTTGTTTGTCTAGTCTCGATCTTTACAAAGGTCTGAACCAAGATTCAATACCTATGTACTTTCTGGAATTTCAAATCCAAATTTCAGTGGTGCATGTAGATACATTTGCCTCACAGTCACTTTTTATTTTTGATCACTTAAAATGATATTGCCTCCATTCTTGACATTTTTAACCATTTAGAGAACAGAGGTCTATGCTTTCTGATTCATAGTTTTGTTCAGCAGTGATGTCAAAGATGTCTCTGCTACTTAGTTCAAAGAGTAGAAGCGGTGATTCCATTAGCAGGTTTTTTTTATAAAGTAAAGCCAAATCCCAAGGCTTGAACTTTATTAATAGGGCTCCCTTCTAAAACCTGTCCCATCTCCGTCCCATGTTACATACAAAGTCTTGGTTGGACTAACAGAAGCTGTAAAGACTACCTCTTTTCTTTAAGCTTGTTACTAGGAGTTTAATGAGGCATTTATGTGATTCCAAAATATGTAAGAGGTGTTTTAAGAACTTCAGTGAAGCTGAAAGCTACAGCATAGCTACAATCACATTAGAACTGCCAAGACATACCCGTTACACCCCTACAAGGCCAAAACCTTACAGTGAGCATACAACAGATATGGACATTTACTAAATATCCCAAAAAGGCCCCAATAAAAAAAGTAAACTCTAAATATGCTCAGTACAGCTGTTGTCTTACCATTTGCCTTGTGCTGCACATCTGGCGGAAACTGGTCAGGAACATACCACTGATAGTCTGGCTGAAAAGAACAATAAAACATTATTACAGCAATATGGGCTTCATAGACACTTCAAACAAAAGAATAGTGACATATTAAAAAATAATTACACAATGAAGCTTTTTATTAGTCATACAAAAGTAATTTATAAAATAACTTATATTTGGCTCTAAATATCCACTAATTGAGTTTTTCAGTTTGCTTTCTTCTTTATGACTTGTGGATTAGATGCTGTGCTCATTACAAATGCCCGTGTAAATCTTTCTAGACCTTACAAATCAAACCAAACATTAACATGGCAATTTTCAAAGGTCTATAAAGTTGTACCTAAGGAGGAAGAGGAAAGGGAGAAATGCTCCAGAAGACATTGTCAGCCATCACAATTTTGATCATGAAGGTAAGCATTCAAGAACAAGGAGAATCATGGCATGTGCTGACATGACAGGTGACAGTATTCCAGTTTGAAAGGGTTTGCAGCATTGCTTTTCATGCTGACAACTTGATCTTAAAGGAATGTTCCTCTTGTTCTACTGTATTACATGAATACTCCTATCATATCAAATAAGTTTCATGTGCCATCAAGAAGCTACCATGGGACAAGGAATCATTATAATAGACATTTCCCTTTCTACAAGAAGAAGCTACCAAGATGATTTTGCCCTGCCAAAACTTCGATATTTAGCATAGAGAAGGAAAAAAGGAAATGTGGTTCTATACTTTATATTGGGGGTTGGCAACCTATGGCCTGCAGGCCGCATCTAGCCAACAGAGCCAATTGATACAACCTGCAGACATGGATCTCTGGCAGAATTCAGTGGCAAGGGGCTTCAGCAACGGTTACTTTTCCCCATCACCACAGGGAAAAATGGCAGTGGCAGCTGGGTCCCAGAGTGCAGCCCCAACTCTAACTCAAACTGAGTTAATCTGGCCCTCAACCAAAATGGTTACTGACCATTGCTTTATATCACAAAATGTGGTAAATAATTAGCAAAGTAATTAATTCCTGAAGACAAATTTATGAAATTGTTACTTGGTAGTTATGTTTGGACTTAAACCCAATAGAACTTAATGGCTTTTAAATGGGACATCTTTGCCTTTATCTTGAATACAGAATTGAGATTTTTTTTTTAAATAGTTCATTTTTGCCTATGTCAATTATTAACAGTTGGTGCTTCCTTGTTTAGGGAATGACAGGAAATTATATTTATTATGTGTTTTAAATAAGAATTACAGTATGCTTTTTAAAAGTCTGGACCTATGTATGGACTATAGCATTAATTACCAGGGGAACACTAACAAGGTTCCTAGAGTGACGAAAGTACATATGTGAATTGCTCCTTCCTTCAGTTAGTTAATTGGAGGAAGTTGAAGAATTCTTGATGTACAGGAATTACTTGGGAAAAAATTCCACTATGGATTTCAAGTTCTCTGCCTTCACATGGAAGACACGTTACTTAAAAGGAGTTTTGGCCCTTACTCATGGGCAGGTCCAGGGGCAGGATGGAGACGCCCCCTTTCAGCTGTGTATTCCCAGCGAGATCTCTGAGCTAACTGGCTTGTCAGCATAGATCCAGAATCATACAATCATAGAAAATTAGGGTTAGAAGGGACCCCAGAAGACCATCTAGTTCAACCTCCTGCTCAAAGCAAAACCACTCCTGCTTCCTTGCTCACCACCAAATTTGGTGGCAGGGAACAGGGAGGGCATGAGCAAGTATGGCATTCACCCCCTTGGGTTTCAAAGCCACATCAAAATAGTGGCTGAGATCACAGCCATGCTGACAAGCTGATGAACTCAGATTGCTCACTGCACAGGTGATAAACAGCTGAACCAGGGTGCAAACACCCCTCCCCAGACACCTTTAGATTCTATCCCTACCCTTACTATATAGCAGTTAGACGTAGGTTTTATTCAATATAGTCCTTTGCAAATCTTTGTCCTACTGAGAAGTCACAGAAAGCCTAAGCAAGACAAGCGTCTGTCTTTCACCGAGACAAGAAATGGTATTCATGTTTTCTACCTTATCCTAGAATTCTTAACTATTTCTAGGCTGGAAGACAGGCCAATGCAGGCCGTGAATCAAACTTTTTAAATATGTGATAGCTTTAAATACAAGAATTGTCCTATAGGTTTTAGGACACTAAAAATGTGCTCTAATGCTTCTCTTTATTGGATTTACAGAATTTGCAGTTCACTTAATTCTTTTCTCTGCTCTTCTACCTATTTACATTAGTTTGGAAATCTACCTAAGGATGGGAGAAATGCATTTCATGTCAACAAAATAAAAATGATTCTACTGAAAATTTTCAAAGGAACATAAAGAAGTAATGTGAAGAAAGAACAAAAATGCAAAATGCACAGAAAACACACAGTATTACATATGTTAAATCAAGAAACACATTCAATCCCAACACCTTTTTTCATTGCTGACAAATTGCTCAGGGACTTGACAAGAACTCAAAAGAGCAACATGATGCTCACACTGGAAAAGAATTTCAAAGACGAACTCAAGCAACAAAGATGAGAATTTCAAGGCAACCAATCAGAATTTGACTACTTCTTCCCAGAACCCAGTTAGGAATGGTAAAATGTATAAACACAGGGATTCCTTGTGGAATTAGAAACACAGATGATGAAAACTTGGAGGGAAAAGCCAAAGTAATCTAGGACAGAGTCCAACTACAGTGAAAAACATTCTATGACATTTACAACTCTGATAAACAGAGAGACAGGCATATTTTAATTGTATTTAAATTGATCCACTTGTCCACAGTTTTTCTTTTAGGCATTAAAGACGACAGTCACAATTTGTAAAACTCGTTTATAATTACACTAATAAACATAATTTAGTATGTAACATCATTATAGGAATATAAAATGAAAATGACACGCAGCATTTCATGTTAGTTTACATTTATTTTAATTTCTCCTTGAAAATGTAATTATATAAATAGTTTCACAAGAGATGGATCTACTATAAGAAAATTATATATTGTCTTAAAGTGTTAAAAACAGGATTTTTGCCTTTATTCACAATGAGTAGAGCTTTACTTCTCCAGTGGTCTCACCTAAATCAAATCAGTTATAGCTCAAGACAGTGCACAATATAAATAGAGATGAGTGGAATTTGACCCTCTATACTTTATAGAAGAGTTTCACATCCTGCCATTAACTTGCCCATGTGCACGAAATACAGCCATGCTATCCAGAGAATATTTGATCATGTGGTTTGTATAAAGTTTTATTGCCCTGATTATGGGGATGGGGACATTGCAAGTCCAACAGGTCATCACAAACTAACATGATCATTCACTGAATCAGCCAGAGAAATACAACATAGTAGACAACTAATTTTTTAGGGCCCAATCTGACTTCTAGAGAAGTCAGCAGAATGATCCCATTGAACTCAAGAGGGCCACGATTTTGAACTTTGCTGCTGTCACTCTCCTCATTTATTCTAAATGTCTGGGATATGTTTCACCCCTCAGAGATCAAATCCGTCTTTATAAATACAGCTTAATTATTCAACAATATTCAAAGAAGACAAAAAAGATGACACAAGTAAAAGTACATACTCATTATTATTTAGTTGCAATCAAACTTCTTGCCTGGTTATTTTAATGAGGAATTTTCCACTACTATTATTTAAAACAAATGCAAAATAACCACCTCTGGATATAATAAAGAATTGTTAGAGTCTTAAATATTTAGCCCACATATGGAGCAAGCATAAAATTGCTAAAGACTCAATTATAACGGTAAAATTCAGATGATCAAATTGATAAAGGTATTGACTGGATATATAAGCTTGGCTGAGATCTGCTCAGGGCAGCACCTGACAGAGGAGAAACAGGGAGCAAACAATATGGATTATCAAAGGCAGACTGGTGATCTGTGCAGAGAAAGGCAAGGAGGCAAACTCAAGAGAGATCACTAAGGCTAGCTCAAGATCATGGAAACAAAGGAAAGATTTGATCTGGATCCTAAAATGAATTGAGAGATAAATATGTGTATAGAATCATAGGATAGTAGGGCTGGAACTACTGAGATCATCACTCATAGGAACAGCCTGAAATTAATCATTGTGACTGTCATGTTCTGGGAAAACCATTGTTCAGGGGAATGGGAAGTAACAGAAATCCTACTTACTGGGTGCTGCTGCTGATCATGAATGCCTCGTACTGTTGTGTGTAACCAAGGGTCTTGGTAGTGGTGGCATAAGCCACAGTTTCCATAGTTAGCAGAAGGTGGAAGGAACACTTGAGGCTGGATGTAGCGCCTTTCAGTTGGTACCGCAAGAACTTTTCTCTGCAGGAAAAAGATTTTAAAAAAACCCCTACATTGCTAGCTGCAGATGTACATAAAACAGAATACTCATACAAATGAACCATATGTGAAGATGAATCAATGTTTACACAACTAATTATGATGCTTTTAATTTAGCCTATTAAGAATGTTAACAAACAAATATATATCTTCTCTGATCAATCCTCCAGGCACAAGGCCAAAGTGTCTACAATTTTTCAAGATGACTAAATGCCCTGGAAACACATCTTTGGTGTCTTCTGGAGCCAGGTGATACTTATCACATAGAGTAGCATTCTGCTATTCTCATGGTTCATCCAGTGTTAAATGCTTGTAGACTTGCTTAACGTGGAGACTGGGTTGCAGTAGTAACTACAATGCCAAATACTGAGATCCTCACAGCTTTTTGCTCTGCTTTTTCTCAGGCCTTATGGAAGTTCAGTGAAGCTCTGGAGTTTGCCTCAGAAGGGACTGACCAGAAGCGGATAAAAAGATGAAACAGAACCTCGCAATTTGGTCTAATAATATAGAATAAGTACATATCTACATAGCACTTTTCATGTTCAAGACCTTTCAATAATATTTTCTAATCAAACCACAGGCACTTAATTGAGTACATTCAGACCACAGCAACTACAGTGGAACATGTTTATAAAGGGGCTTGGGGCACTGGGCAGAGCTTCTGCTTACAGGTGAATTGTATACCAGTGAATGCTGAAGTAAAGAAGCTCCATTTTTAATAAATCAGAAGTCCAAGTCACTCAATAAAAGTTACTTCTCTAGCACATCTCCATTTATATAGAGAAACTTTTCTACGGGAGGGAAACAAACATAGTATGAAAATGTAACATAATAGCTGATCCTGCAGCCCTTACTCTCCTGTATAGTCTTGCTGGCCTCCGAAGGGATAGTTCAAAGGCTCTCATTCTATAGGGTGAGAAGGCGGTAGGTTTAGAAGTTGAGATTTACTTTACCAACTCACAGAAATTTTGAACCTTACATTTAAATGTAAAAACCAAGGTACAAAGAAGCAAACAGACCTGTTGTTTTAGCTGTTTCTCTAGTTGTTCTTTTTCTTTCACACATGCTTTCATCTGTAAAGAAATAAAGTTTTCACTTTGATTAGTTAACCATCTTGACTTCCAGTCCCAAAACTGGTACTACTGCAACTGTTCGTAAAACACAGAAGATACCCAGGTGCAACACCTCACACTGGAGCTCCTGCCTGCTACAGCTGGAATAACTCCGATGTGTTTGGAAGGGAAGAGAAAGAGATCTCTTTTGGCTGACAAGCTATTTATTTCAGGGGGAGGAGGGGCGGGAGAGAGAGAGAGTGTTAGGGTGGCCATTGGTCCTGTTTTATGCCAGACCATCTGCTTTTAAACCCTTTGTCCCCTGTCCATTTCTGAATGAGGAATGGACTGCTAAAAGTCCTGTTTTTCAGTTAATTGGTGGCAATACATGTCAATCATTTGTCCTCATGATTCTATTGGCTCTGCCTAGTGGTAGGGCAGTGCACAGCCAGGAGGAGCAGAATTCCGAGTCAGCCAGGGAGAGAGGTGGCCTTTTTGTGGTGGCCCTACCCCTTGCTGCTGATTGGCTAAGGAGACAACAGCCTCACCCCTCACTGCTGATTGGCCAAGGGGGCTAATGATCCCACCCCTCACCAATGGATGTCCTGTATTCTGGGGTTGTGTCTGGCCACCCTAGTGTGTGTGCATGTATGTGGTGTCACTCTATTTAGCACTGGTGAGGTCTTGCCTTGAGTACTGTGTCCAATTTTAGGTCCTGTGCTTCATGAAAGACATAGAAAGATTGGGAAGAGTCCAGCAGAGTGACAAAAAGATTATTAGAGGGTGGGGAAGGATGATTGATAAGGAAAGGCTAAAAGAACTAGGGTTTCGTGGGCAAAAGAGAAAACTGATAGGGGATTTGATGATAACAGTTCAAATACCTGAAGGGCAATTATAAAGGGGATGTAGATAGATTTTGTTCTGTGGCTGTAGAGGACAGGACTAGGACCAACAGCCTCAAGATAAAGCAAAGGAAGTTTAGGTTGGAGATTAGGAAAAAAACTTTTTGACTCTGAGGGTGGTCAAGCCCTGAGGCAGGCTACCTAAAGAAATTATGAAATCTCCATCCATGGACATTTTCAAAAGCAAGTTAGACAGATACTTGGCTGAGATGGTGGGCTGGATCTCTCCCAGACCTACTTTCCTATGGTTATTTACTCATTACTTATTTATTTATGTACATGCGCACACACACCAGATACCACCTCTCGTAACCCTAATCATAACATCACAGAGAAGTGGCAGGTTGATTGCATATGATTGTTTTAGAGGGATCTTCATGTCATTAAAGTGAGTGGTTCTCACACCCTGAGGCTCATGCTGTGAAGGGAATAATTCTTCAGCTTGATACAGTCATAACTGCGTTTGGGCCCAAACGCTTGCAAAGAACAATTTTTCCAATTATTTAGTTGGTCTAATAAAAGATATCACATCTACCCAAAGAACCTTGTCTGCCCATGTCCTTAGACTAACATGGTTACAACCAACAACCCAACAAGGGAAACTGGCACCTGGGCATTTCTTCAGCTGATTACAATGTCTTTCACTGAGAGTAATGTACAATCATAAGACCTTTGGTTACATGCCATTTATCCTTGCTATTTCCATATGCTTGAATGCCCCTGCATGACAAATCAGCATTCTTTCTGGCATATTCTGCACTGTCACTAATCATTTTACAGTCACCTGACACACACCTTTTGTTACCTGCTTATTTTTCATTTGGAGTGTCATCCTGTGCAGTCCCAAGCACGTGCAGGATATGCTAACTGCCCTCATTGCAAAGTGAATAAGAGCCTAAGGCAATCAGCTTCATTGAAGGAAGCACTCAAGCACCTTGCAAGATATTAAGATAAGCAGCACCCTGCTGCTTTAAGATCCTGTGATTCCTGCTACTACTGGTGCATGGATTGGTTAAGAATCAGCTAATATTTCTATTTCCTCTTTGGAAATCAAGGAGGAAGAGGAGTTATCAAAGTATATCCCATACCGATGCTACTTACTGCAAAACATTGCACAATTCTGTCAGACAGAAGATACTGTGGCTTCATCATGTTTTTTAAGAGGTAGGTGGGAAAACTGAATCTTTGTTTTGTGTCATGACTTCATTTCAGTTTTCTGAATCTCCATAATCAGAACAATACATTGAAGAGGATTTTGCAATAACCTGAATGACTCAGATTTGCTCAGTGGGGCAAATTTTGTTCTCAGTTATGTTGGAGTCATACACGGCTGAGAGCAGAATTTGATGCATTACATACTTTATTTTAATGCTTGGGTCAATACTATAGTTTTTATACCAAATGCCATGCCAACAAAACAAAGAGTGTCCTTTTCCTTTGTTCTTTTTATTTGAGAGAGATTTGAACAGCACCCCTTCATCTACTCAATTTGGAAGAAGTCTCTAATCATTTCTCATCTCCCTACAATGTTACTTCAGAATGATTTCATCTCAGGTGGTGACTTCACATAAATCCAATGTCAATTAATGGAAGCCAGAAAGCCTTGTATGGAAAGTGAGAAAATAAAAATAAAATACACGTGTACTGGCAATGGTAGCTTTTTTTTGAGTCATACCTGAGAATTTAATTTGCTCATCTGGGACTGTGATCTCTCATTAATTTTTTGAAGTGCTTCTTTTTCCTCATTAAGTCTTTCTCTGTCCGATCTCTCCTTTTTAAAATCTTCTTCATATATCTGTACCTGCAATTATTCAGATTTGTCATTTGTATTCCAGCAGTGCGAAAATTATGGAGTTTATCCATTTATACTTTCTGTTTTGTTTAAATACAATTTCAAACAAGTACAAGGAATGCATTCAAAGGGGAAATTCCATAATCAAAATAATTTTGTATATCATTTTTACTTCTAGAGAGTAGACAGCTAATGGGTTCGGAAATAGAATACACCCACTTTTACCAATAGGTTTTTATTACTAATCTAGGCCAAATTAATGATAACCTAAATCTCACTGATGGTTTATGAAACAAAGTTGATGGCCAGACTAGCAATTGGATGTCTACCTCTTAAGGAATACAAGCTTATTAGCCTACTTTAACAGACACAGCAAAGCAGCATGGGGAATGGAGACCTGGTCTTATTAGTTTGCTATCAAGCCCCATAGGCAGGTCATTTACAGTGATTTTGTGCTGCTGCTTATACTTTCTTTTTGGGTAAAGTAATTTAGAGTCTTCTGGTCATCTTTGTACAAGGGAAGGTCCAGAGTGAATGTACTGATTTATACAAGTAAAAAGATGCATTCATAAAACCCTTCCCCAGGAGGATTTTGAAACATGTTTTATTCTCTTTTACTGTCTGGCAGAATGAAATAATTCAACACTGCACAATCAAGTGAAAGATTCTATTCTCCAGCATTTGGCATGCATTACATTAGAGAGTGGAGTCTGGCTCGGCTGTCAAACGTGACAGAAACAAGTATTTTATTCCATGGAGCTTCTGATCATGTCCATTTGTGTGTTGATATGACTGACTCTAACATTATACAGGATGAGAGGCTTAAAATTTAAATTAACCTGAAAAGTACTAATAAAAAATTGTTTCTATACACTACAGAAAGAGAAAGCAATGAGAAGAAGAAAAGCATTTTGTTCCTCGAAATGAGGATTACAATGCAGATAAAATCTAGCCTTTTTTTTTTTTTGTCTCTGGTATACAGGTTATGAATTTCCTTGCCCTGCTTCATTCCTCAGAGCAATTGGAATATCAGGATATTCTATACTTTTGCATTCCAAGAGCAAGATACTTACATAATTCAACACTGTCAGTTGAGCAGAGCAAAAGTAATCAACAGCATCAATACCCATCAGTGACTCATGGAATGAATTATTCATTAGGGGTAGTGGTGATGCGTAGGGGGTGTATGGGGGTGCACGTGCACCCCCTGAGAGCGCTGGTGCACCCCCTGACTGGCCGTGCTCACCATGTAGACGATGAGCAGGAAGTGCTGTTGCTGCCCCCGCAAGTGCCAGCCATGGAGTGGGAGCACCATGGCACTCCCAGAAGTGGGTGCAACCACTTCCGGAACTGGCCGCAACAATTGGCCGTCTCGCGATCAGTCACAGAGAAACTCCCTCTCCCCCCCACCGCCCCAGTCAATGAGATCAGCCTGGTTGCTGACCGGTCACTGGGGGGCACATGCCCCCCCTCACTAAGGCAGCACCAGTCGCCCATGATTAGGGGTAAAATTCAGTCTGGAGAAGACTAGCACAATGCCTATGAAAATCTTAGGATACATTTATACAACCCCAGTAAAACACCAGTAGAGCGTATCAGTGTATACACAGTGCCACAGTATGATGATTATTGTAGTCCTGATTAGAAAGGCACTATATGCAGAGTAAGCATGGCATATCCCAGTGAAGAGCTCCCTGGCACCTCTACTGGTAACCTTTACATTTCACATATGCTGGTGTTTTTAATAGTAAATAGGCCTTTTACTTGTCCTTGGCCAAGGACTGAATTTTACCATTCATACTGCTGTAAGAACAGTATTTTGAACAGAAGGCAGACAGACAGAGATAGATACAGTAGATAGATAGGTAGATAGATACTCATATCCTGTATACCAGAGACTAGAGGAGTTTCAAATATAGGATAGCATATTAACCAGAGAGAGGTAGTTAGCTGTGTTGGTCTGCAGTTAGACAGAAGGCAGGCCAGTGTGACACTTTATACACTAACTCATTCAGAGGTATGACCTTTCATAGGCTACAGTTTAATATAGCATCTGACAAAGTATGGTGTAGCTTACCAAAGCTCGTGTTTCTCTGTACAAGTTACTCTTTAAGGTGCCACACTGCCCTGCCATCTACATTAATCATAACAGAGAACTTGAGATTCTCAGAGAAGGGAAAAATTAGTACTGCATCAGATGTGGTCAGGTGTATTTTCAGATATTCTCACCTGCTGTCTGAGAACTTCCAGTTGAGTTCTCATCTCTTCATGTTTGCAGTTTCTGTCAGACTTATCCAAATGAGGCACATGAAAGGATGAATACTGTTTTTGCAATGCATCCAGTAGGGCCTGCAACATAAAACAATAAAGTCCAGAGTTGGGATTTGCCACATCAAATGAATTCCTTTTAATAGTTAAAACATCTGCATCTCTGACTGAACAGCTTAAAGCAAGTCCAGGCTTATTTTTTATGTGCAATTGTTATAGGGTACATACTAGGTATGAACTGTATGACTAAATACATTTCTTTCTTAGGCCTTTATTTTAAAAGTGCATGCATTGCAACCTTTATGTTTAGGGGCCTAGGATTTTGGAAACTCAGATTTACATATATAAACAACATTTGCAGATGCAAACTGAGCAGCTGCATGTCTACCCAGTTTACATCCACAAATGTTCTTTCCATGTGCAAATCAGAATTTTGGAAACCACTGAAAAAAATTAAAAAACCTGAGATGGGTTCTGAAACTTAGAGGCAGTTTCCCTTCTGCCTTTATTCAGCCATTATCTGACAAATCATAGCTATAGCAAGAGCTGAACCAAAGATTTTTTGCACTAGAAGCACAGCTTTCTTTCCTATCATGAGTTAGGGAATGCAGAAGGTTATGCATTTCATGTGGTCAGCCACTAGAGAGCATCATGATTACATAGTGTATATGTGTGTGCATGTGCGCATGCACACACACACAGGGCAGTATATTATACTTCCTCTTTTTCAAGCAAATTCTGTCAAGGTGTTTTGTAATATTTTCCTCATCTTATTCTTAACTTTACTCCACAATTGGTTTTGAAGTCATCTTAAAATTATTATTCACCATTCCCCACAATTATTTCTCATCATTGCCCATAATTACTAGCTTTACAGTTTCCTCAATTTATTCTGACACAATCGTCTGCCATTTGGTAATGGTCCTTCTCAAACTTTATCATAGAAACTACTTCCTTACTTTTCCTTTTAAAAGGATAATTCCCACTAACTCTCAAACTCCCCCCTTGTCTGAATTGCATGGAGTTATGTCAAGTGACCTGTTATCAGAAAGTTCCCATGAACTTCTCAGAGGTCCCACTCACTATTTAACTGAATGAACTAAGCATGCCTAATGGCATCTACCTCAAACAACCTCTTCACTGGCTTCCATACATAGTCATAAGGGACTTAAGACAGATTTAAAAAGTGAGGGTATGGGGAGCACAAGAAGAGACATAAGGCGGCTTGTAAGAGGACAGATGTCCATAGTGTTATATAAGAATTATTATAATGTGCTTCATCTTCCATTAAACAGAGAAAGTTTGATCCAAAAATCTCCTACATAACAAAAGTGAAGAAGGGAGAATATTTTTAATCTACTGCAAACTCCTGGACTGACTGCTGTGTTCCAGATTATTCCTAATAAGTGCACAGTTTGAGACTGAGATTAGCCAAGTGCCAGAAGAATTTATATTGTACATTAGGGCTGTGCAAAGCTTTGGTTGCTGATTCGATTCAGTGGAGATTCAGCCCAATTCAGTGGCTGAATCTCCAAATCTGAATCTAATCAGGAGACCCTTTAATCTCTCCGAATAGAATTGGAACCCTTCAAATCGATTCAGAGAGATTTGATGATTTGGACATAGACACAGTTTTAAATGTTTTTTCTACATACCTCAATTTACCAGGCAGCTCGTGAATGCTGAGATAGTGAGGCAGATGGAGCATCCCACAGGAGTGTGGCGGGGTCCCCCGTACACTTGGTGGTGGACCCAGAAATGGACCAGAAGCTCTTCCGGTCCACTTCTGGATCCGCAACACAACGCACGGGGGACCCTTCCCCCACCCCTGGCTTGGCAACTGGTGCCTCCTGGGTCTGGGGGGGCATCTGGGGTCTCCCTGCAGCCAAACGCCAAGCCATGGGACTGCCAGGTGGGTGGTCCCCCTGTGGTCAGCGGTGGACCTGGAAGTGGACTGAAAGTCTGTCACTGAGCAGGCGGCTCCCCACTCCCTGGTGCTCCTGTGGGACGCTCCATCTGCTCCACCATTAGCATTCACAAGCCGTGCCTGGTACCTTGAGGTATGTAGAAAAAACATTTAAAGCTGTGTCTATGGCTGAATTGCTGATTCTCTAAATCAGCACTGAATCTTCAGATGCGGGTTCGGCCAAATCAATTCGGGACAGTGCTCTGAATCAACGAATGGAATCACTGTGCCCTGAATTGGGTGGAATCGGAATCAGAATTGAATATGGCTCACTTTACACACCCCTACTGTATGTGTAGGAGCATGTTCATGTATGAATCAGAATAAAGATGAGAAAATAAACACAACTGTAGATTCTCTGCATTGTGTTATGCTTCGTGGGGCCACATGCCTTCCTAAGTCATAGATGTTTTGGATAACTCACTTTGTAAATGATGTTTCACGACTATATGCATGTAAAACCAAACATCCATCCCATTTCTCTGTTCTCCAACGACTAGTATGTTTTTTACTAGTATTCCTGAGATACATACTCCTGTAAGAACACTTACAATTAATTACAAGTTGGAGTTATGGGTGTGGGGTGAGAAAGCAGAGAGACTTGGTAAAGTTTTACAGGATTCATACTACATTTGAAAGCTAGCATGCTCTCATGGCTTATTCCCACTGAAAGCCCTTCTCTGACATATGGTGCATTATGAGTAGATGCCGGGAATGCATGTGGCTGAAATCTGGTTTTATTTTTCCTTCTCTCCATGTGGTATACACCTGCACCTTGCTGACAAGACACTTGGACACTGCAGTTCAAGCTCTCTAATTCAAATATGACCTTATCTCATTGTTCTCTGAGGAAGTACTGTTTCTCCATCTCCTCAGTTTTTATATGGCTTCTGTCTACATTCATAATTCAGACACCAGGATACATAAACTTTATTGTCATATCCATTGGATTTTGCTAAAAAATACCTCAGCTTTTATTGGTCTTTTAGACAGCAACCACTCTAACTTATTCTATATCTCAGCCCTATGCTAACACTACATCGGTTCACTGCACACAGGTGGAAGAGGTGAATGAGAACTGCACTGTTAAAATTTCCTAGTACAGAAGTGCTCAACGCCTAGCCTGTGGGCCAGATCCAGCCCCCAGCTCCTTGTCATCTATCCTGCAGGCTCCCCACTGATCCATGAAGAGCCCTGCAGGCCCTGGTCCTGCATGCTAGATGTGGCATACAGGGCAGCACAGGGCTTGATCCCAGCACTGGAGGCCTGGTGGAAGTGGCACAGGGTCAGGGCCCCTTTCCCAGTATGCAGGAGTAGGAGGAGGGAGCACAGGGTCCCAGGCCACCAGTCCCAGAATGCAGGACTGGGTGGGAACAGTACAATTTGGATCCAGGTGTGCACACCTAATCTGAGCCACAGACTGGTCCCACACCACTCATTTGGCCCAATGGGCCAAAGGTTGAGCATCACCGTCTTAGTATGTCATAAGTGGAGAAATATCATGTATATTGTAAATAACTTTGCAAGGATACGTATATAAAAATGGAAATTGCTATTTCCAAGCAAGCCAGGAAAAAGAAAACCTTAGAGATTAATGGTGATCATATATCAGTGGAAGCTAGATAATCTCCATCCAGAATACTGAAAACTGGCATATGAAATTGCTGCTCTGGTACCAAGTACTTCTTCTATTAAATCAGAGGCAGTACCACATTACTGGAAAAGAACTAATGCAGTTCCTATTTTCAGGAAATAGGGGGAAAATCAGAGAACTAGACAAATCGTTTTTCTGACCTCAATGGTATGTTGCAGTTTAGAAAACATTTTGAAGAAAAAATAAGTAGATGTGGCAGTCAATGAAAAATGAAAAACTGCAACAAAGATTTGGCAAATATAGATGATACCAACATAACCTAATAGTTTTAATAAGAAAATAGATTTTCTAGATAAAGGAACTGTCATTAGTTTTAACCTGTCTCACCCTCAGGAAAGAATTTGATATGATGCCCACTTGGAAAATTATTAGTTAAGCTGGACAACATTGGTATTAGTACATGAATTATAACTGAAATAAGGAATTGGCTAAAGAGTTTGTACTAGGAGGAGACTGATTCTTTCTTTGTCCCCCCTTCTTATATATTTTTATTAATGACATGGGCACAAAAAAGTGTGCTAATTAATTTGCCAATGGAAAAAAATTAGGAGGTATCTGTGATACTAAAGGGATCAGAATATCAGAGGGAGAAATGGATGTCTATAAGGTATCTATATCTATCTATCTAGCTAGCTATATATCGATATCTAGATAGATAAATAGAGATATATATGATATATAGTACAGGGTCATACACATAGGAACTAATAATAAGAATTCTACTGATGAGCTACAAGCTTACAGAAAGCAATGGCATAAGAATACTGGTATTAGTTGATCACAGAATGACTCTAAGATAGTCATGTGCCATGGTTATAAAATGAATAAATAAACAAACACGAATGCACTCCTAGAATGTATTAGATAAAGTGCTTCTAATAGGAACTCGCAAGTACTTATGCCATTATATAAGCCCCTAACAAAATTTTGCCTGTGCACAGCTTTAACCCTCTGTGTTTTTTTTAAAAAGAGGAACTCAAACTGGAACAGGCACAGGGAAGGGCGACATGAATTTTTAGGAGAATGAGGAGACTATATTATGGCTAGGTACAGACATTTAAAAAGCCCAAGGCAGAATCCATCTAAGTTATGCGGTTTTCTATAAGCGGCATAGTTTAGATCAGTAACAAACAGAACATACTTCTTGGTGGAGAGCGGGTGGGTGGCAAATCTTAGGGAGTTTATAGATGTGCTCTGTGAGGGGGGGGGCACTTTAATTAGAGTGGCCTCAAGAGCTGCTCTAATTAAAGTGCCTACAGCATCAGTGTATCAGTGTCCCTGCACTGAAAAAGGGTGGCAGAAATGCTTTAATTAAAGCTCACTGAACAAGCTTTAGTTAAAATGTCCCCACCGCCATTTTTCACCATGGGCGCACTGATGATGCTGAAGTCGGCTACAACATGGTAATTACCACACTCCAGCAGACTTGATTAATCTAAATTAATTAATTGCATGTGCTCC